CTAAAGTAGTATAATAGGTACTCTTTGACAATATAATCATAATAGGTACAAACTTATAATTTCAATTAATTATAGTCGAATTTCTACTACCGGGGGACCACTAATTTATTGTATAACGCTAAGAAAGTACAAAATATTTATTATCATTCATCTACGTTCTTTAAGCTTTGGTATCTGGACTTTAATGTCCTTTTCACTGCAGGCAAACGTTAATTCGGAACAATTGTTTTGCGACAGTGACTCAGCTGTAATGATTCATACCGGGTTTTAATTAAGTCAATTAAAGCATCGTTTCAAAGTCGCGTATTCGTCTAAAGGATTTCTCATATGAATGGTTTCGGCGAACTTTTTTTTTTTTTAATTGCTTTTATGGGTAGACGATCTCACAGCCCACCTGGTGTTAAGTGGTTACTGTAGCCTATAGACATCTACAACGTAAATGCCACCACTCACCTTGAGATATGAGTTCTAAGGTCTCAGTATAGTCCGTAGGAGATTACCCACCGCTACCCTACACGTGACCCCTGGGTGGTGCTAATAGTGCAACAACCTGGCAACCGAACTGTCCTCCTGAGGATCTCCCGGTTCCAACTACACTGCGTCAATTATAAAACCCTAATCACAAACTGTAAATTTCAATTATAACCACGCAGTGTAAACGAATGCCATACGATAAATAAATAANCAGTATAGTCCGTAGGAGATTACCCACCGCTACCCTACACGTGACCCCTGGGTGGTGCTAATAGTGCAACAACCTGGCAACCGAACTGTCCTCCTGAGGATCTCCCGGTTCCAACTACACTGCGTCAATTATAAAACCCTAATCACAAACTGTAAATTTCAATTATAACCACGCAGTGTAAACGAATGCCATACGATAAATAAATAAGTATAGTTACAACGGTTGCCCCAATCTTCAAACCGAAACGCATTACTGCTTCACTGCAGAAATAGGCGGGGTGATGATACCTACCCGTGCGGACTCACAAGAGGTCCTACCACCAGATGAGTACACAATTTATTTTCTTTTAACGTTTTAAAACATACATTTGTATAGAAAGTAATTATTATACGAATATTTAAGGAGTGGTTACTCTGTGAGCGTACTTTAACTCGTATTGATAGGTACTACACACCGCCCCTTCACCTTCTATTTCTGCCGCGTCATGCGTTCCGACCTGAATGCTAGGACGGTCTTTGAATTTCTATAACTCGACCTGTGTTGTAGTTTCTATAGGTTCCGGCAACAATTTGTAGAAATTTCAAACTATGCAATATAAAAAAATATAGACAATTTTATTGTTTGCGTAAGGATAGATTAGCTTACGTATCACTGTTCACTACGGGTCTAAGTCCTTCTTCACTACATAGTATAAAAACAAAGTCGGTTTCTCTGTCCCAATATCCCTATGTATTCTTAAATCTTTAAAACTACGCAACGGATTTTGATGCGGTTTTTTTTAATAGATAGAGTGATTGAAAAGGAAGGTTTATATGTATAATAGCATCCATTAAATAGTGGAGAAATCAATAATAAATTACAATTTCCGAAGCGAAGCGAGGGCGTGTCGCTAGTGTCTTATAATTCGAAGCAGAACTAATGATTACTATAACAAACAGACAAATAAAATCAGTGTAAAAAAAAGTAGATTTAATATTATTACCGCACCGAATTTAATGTTGTATTTATCAAAAGATTTTAACTCAGAAACTTGGCAACCTCGTCTAAAATATTAATGTTTTTCAAATTTAATAAGTTACGCTACAAAGTCTCTTTGATCAAATTCGTTTTTTTTTTTAACCTGTTTTCTATTTAAGTAACGACTATTTTTGGAATCGGATACTTTCGTTTTCTATATCTATACTAATATTATAAAGAGGAAAAATTTGTTTGTTTGTTTGTATTGAATAGGCTCCGAAACTACTGAACCGATTTGAAAAATTCTTACACTGTTTGGAAGCTACACTATCACCGAGTGACATAGGCTACATTCTTTTTTTTTTTTTTTTAAATAGGGATCTTTACTAAAACTCCGATAATGTTACGAAAATTAGAAAAATAATAATGTAAAAATAATAAAAAAATAGATAAAAACAAATATTATTTAATAGTTCATTAAAACAATAATAATAATTATTATTCAAACTACCTTTATAATTTTCTATTTTTAGAAACCTGAGGCAAATGTATTATAATTTATTACTTTTGAATTTTTTGTTAAAGACTCGAGTGAAGCCGAGCGGGCCGCTATTTAATATATTTATATACATTTTCTTTTTAATGAATCTTTTTTGTTTTCTCCGTTCGTTAATGAAACAGTTCTTTATTTAAGAAGGCAATTAGTTTTATAATACAAAAAGAATAAAAAGGTTTTATTTAAACGCCAATATATTTTTGTTGTGTGGCAAACAGTAAATGTCTTCAATCTCATTCATTATTATTTTTTATTTTTTTTACTGCCCGAGCAGGCAGACGAGCATACGGCTCACCTGGTAGTAAGTGGTTACCGTCGCCCATGGACTTCAGCAATGCCAGGGGCAGAGCCAAGCCGCTGCCTACCGCTTAAAATTAGTTCGAAACTTTAATGTGGCATTTAATTTGTCATTTAATGTGAAATACTAGCAAATTTGTCACGCCTTACTAGCCGATTTGGGATTTGACTTCGATGACTTTCACTGGTGGTAGGACCTCTTCACTGGTGGTAGGACCTCTTGGGAGTCCGCACGGGTAGGTACCACCACCCCGCCTATTTCCGCCGTGAAGCAGTAATGCGTTTCGGTTCGAAGGGTCGGGTAGCCGTTGTAACTATACTGAGACCTTAGAACTTATATCTCGAGGTGGGTGGCGCGTTTACGTTGTAGATGTCTATGGGCTCCAGTAACTACTTAACACCTAGTGGGCTGTGAGCTCGTCCACGCATCTAAGCAATAAAAAAAAAATGAGATTGCTATCAAACTTCGCAGAATTAGCCGTCAGGTCACTATGAAGGTTTTCTAAAAATTTCATAGGAATCGGTTCAACCGTTTCTGAGTCTATAAGGAAGATACGTACAAACATCAACTTTTATCTATATATTAATACGTGAAGCAAAAACTTTGTAACCCTTTTTACGAAAATTGCGCTTACGGAGGAGTATGAAATTTCCCACACTTTAGAGAATATAGAGACTTGCAGAACGCTAATTTTTTTTTTTAAATTATGCATTACAGTACATTAAATCAATAAAGAAAACATTACACACACAACCATGTATATGACACACACATATACTCTTTGTTTATTATCAAACTTTTGTTATTGCTTAAAGTCTGTAGTCAAATTGAGAATAGGTTAATATTCTTTATTTTAATATTTCGAGTATTTGTCTATAGTGTAGTCTTGGCGAAATCTGTGACTATAGAAATATAATAGTTTTTGACAATAGAACCATAATAATGTCCAAACTTATAATTTTAATTAATTATAGTCGAATTTCGACTACTGCGGGATCACTAGTATGTAGTTATTGCGCCAACTACAATGCGAAATAGGTCATGTAAATATTCACATGGTAATTCCAAATTCATACCTTTTGTTTTCAAACACGTAGGACCCTGTCTATTTAAATTCCGGATTACTTTCTGCATTTTCGTATTACAATGGAGATGAGATATTACAGATTAGGCGTGCTCCCGCAATTGTTAAAAATTACTTAAATGCTAGATGCTTGCCTTAAAATAAAAAAAAATACATGTATGCGATCGTTGTATGCGGGAACACTAGTATATTTTAATAGACACATTACTATTACTTAAAAACATGCCGGGAACAAGCCACGCACTATCATCCGTCCCCTAATTAGGATTCCTTGTGGCCATTCCTGGGAGGTAGGATTCCTTCCTTCCTGATATACACAATTATATAAGTTTAAATGTATACACATATAGCTACATTGTATATTTAGGTACGATTTTTATTAGAAAGATAAATAGAGTAAGATGTCTTTGAATGAAAAAAGCGTTTACCGAAAATCGGTTCACGTAATTTATATTCCCATTTGAACTACAAAATGTGTTGGTATCTGAAAGTTACTGTACCGCTAGCGTATAATCTTGGAGTGAGGCTGGGTGAGGCCATAACCGATTTCTTCTATAGGACTGTACGCTGTGCTACTGTTACCAATTTAACAGGTAGGTAAGACAAGTTAATCAAGAATCATATAGAGATATAACAAGATACCGAAGCCCATAGGTATCTACAAAGTAAATGCTGCCACCCACCTTGAGATATAAGTTCTAAGGTCTCAAGTATAGTTACAACGGCTGCCCCACCCTTCAAACCGAAACGCTGCTTCACGGCAGAAATAGGCAGGGTGGTGGTACCTACCCGCGCGGACTCACAAGAGGTCCTACCACCAGTAACCTGTAACCTGTAACTACCTTTATCTTTGTAATTAAAGGTCCGTTTTCTTTGGTACCAGCATCAACAGTTCGATGTTTTTAATTGAACTTCAATTAAATTTGCTCCATTCAAATAGCCGAAGTTTTATTTTTTGTGGATATTTTTTCCAAAATTTAAAAATTAAATGGCTTTACTGTAAAGTTGCAAAAATGTTCAGGGGCGATATGAGTTGGAGTAAACTAAAGCTTGTATTGCAATTTAGGGCGTTGCCTCCTCAAAACGATTAAGAGTCCAGAAGAAGAACGCAGTGTTAGTTAGTGTCTACTGTCTAGTGTAGGCAGTCATGCGTTCCAGTTTGAGGGGTGGGGACGGCTGTCCAATATCGAGATATCGACCTCATGTGTCATGGTGGGTTATGGATCCATGCTTCATCGTAATCGATCTCTGCGGTAAAAGGAAAAAAAGAACACACGTCAAATTGAATTACTCGAGAATATTCATTGCTTTTAACCACATGTGACGTCATGCATTTTGAATAGCGTTTCGCTTGACACAAACAATAGAAAGGTAGTAATTGAATTTGCCTGATTGCTTATATACCGTAATATTATTGCAGATACAAACGACGCTCGTTCGGAAGGTTCAGATAATGGAAGCGAAGGTGACGTCGCACTACACGCGCAAAAACCGGAAGACCGTAAAAGTCGGAACATGGCCGATCGACCTCTTCCGGTGCCGATTGAGAACGAACCTTTTTACATGAACATCGACCGAACCGAAGCTGAGAGCCTATTGAAGGGACAGCCCGATGGGATGTTTGTCCTGAGGCCGTCCAGCCAGGTAGAATATTTCATCATACATTGTACTTTAAAAATTGAGACATTAGAACTCCTATCTCGAGGTGGGTGGCGGCATTTTCATCATATATGTGTATGGATTCCGGTAACCACTGAACACCAGGTGGGTCGTCTACCCATCTAAGCAATAAAAAATAATCCCATCTTTCTCGTGAACATAATCTTTGACCACACTCCAATAAGCACTATAATATCTATACCTTAAAAAATCATATACAAAACGAGTTGTTATTGTATTTGTATTTGTTACTAGCTGACCCGGCAGACTTCGTAGCGCCTAAATCGATAAATAAAAAGACCTAAACTTTTGTTTATAAATAAACTTAAAACAAACAAAAGCAATCCGTTCGACGGGGGACACATCAAAGGAAAAACAAAATTGCAATTTTTATTTAATTTCGAGCATTTTCATATTTATCTACCTTTTAAATTTTCTCTGGACTTCCACAAATAATTCAAGATCAAAATTAACCAAATCGGTCCAGCCGTTCTCGAGTTTTAGCGAGACTAACGAACAGCAATTCATTTTTATATATACCTATATATATATAGATGTAATTGTATCCATTAACATGGAGGCCAGTGTAGATATGGAAGAAATATGAGTGAGTGGTTTTAGGTATAAACACTCATATGTTGCTGAAAGGGTTCCTTCATTTTGATTAATAGCATAGACCTGGTATTAAGTTGTTAACCTAGTCCAAAGACGTTACCAATGATCTATGCAATAAGATAGTTGAAGACATGAGTGGATGAAGGGGATATAATACAATTTGTTAATTTTGAGAAAACGGGCAACAAACTTTTATACTTGAGCTTTTTCTTCGCACATAACGCCTTCATCACGTGCAATTTCTAAAAAAAGCCTTTAAGCCCGGAGTTTTAAGGTCTAATATAGTTTATAAGCACATGACACCTTCATTCAATGTAAGAACTTAAAAAATTTAAAAATGCCACTCAACCCCTTCATTTTTTTTTTATTGCTCAGAAGGGTGGGCGAGCTCACAGCCCACCTCGTGTTAAGTGGTTACTGGAGCCCATAAACATCTACAACGTAAATGCGCCACCCACCTCGAGATATAAGTTCTAAGGTCTCAAGTATAGTTACAACGGCTGCCCCACCCTTCAAACCGAAACGCATTACTGCTTCACGGCTGAAATAGACAGGGTGGTGGTACCTACCCGTGCGGACTCACAAGAGGTCCTACCACCAGTAAAATCCACTCAATCTAATCACGTATATACATATATTAATAATATAATAGTAAATAGGATCAGAGATCCGAATCTGTTCATAGGTAATTACCCTTTAGGGGTTCGGGTCCGTCTGCAACCGGCTTTAGTGAAACTGCTTAGTGATTTTGTTTTACCTGTGTAACGGTATGGGTGCGAGTAATTGATTTTCGCATGGTTGGGATGGAAGTAAGTTTAATACCTGTATATTTGATATTTCAATTAAATAATTCTAATTAATAAAACAGGATGTTAGGTATGTATGTAAAAAATGGTTTCATACAAAATTTGTTCATGCATCGTTTTCGGTCGTCATTTAATTATTGTAAAACTAAACACAGAAAATAAATAAAATAAAAATCATACAAGCCTTTATTTGGTAAAGACAAATTCATAAAATTTAATTCTGTGAATTTACAAAATCCTTCATTAAAAATAAAATATAGAATAGTAAATTTGTTACTGCCATCTACAGGAGCAATAAGAAACTAATCGAAGCGAAGCAAGCCATCTAGTGGCCGACGCCCGTAAACATTTTTGTTGTGCTTGAGTTGCTTATCTATAACTAATTTATGTGTATTATCTATGCACGAGCAGTCAAAACGGAGCGGAGCTCTCTGTTGTTATACCTGTACACTTAAAATGTAATAAATGGAACTCAATGGAAAAATGAGTCTTAATTACCATCACTGTGGAAGACAATGACGTCATCATTTTAAAACGCCATGGAAGCAGCCGTATCCATCAAATATAATGACAAGAAATACGCAAAATTAAAGTGGATAGTTTTAATTATGTGTACGACTCAAGAAAGCCGAAGGAAATACAATATTTACTCTGATTCAAGTGAAAGACGGTGTTAGTCGTCGTCAGTAGAAAGGCCTGATCTAGTGGCAAGCGGAGTTCGTGAATACAATAATCTGAATATATTCTTCATACACGAGGTATCAAAATAACGAATGCCGCACACTTCAGAGGAAAAGCATATACATATAGGGCAAAGAAAGGAATAAGATTATTTTTCGTTACGGCCACCTTACTTAATCTACTCAAAGTTGTCCTCAAATTTCTAACCAAATTTGTTGATTTTGCGTGTTCTGATTTTTATTACACGATGTTATTATTTCATGGTGGAAATAATTCGTGAACATACCGAATTTCTAAGCAGAGCATTCATATTTGCCCGCGGGATTTGAGCACCAATGCAACAATGAAACAGGTATTAATCACGAAGGGAGGGATGTGGACTGGAGACTTTCGCAGCTTTTTTTTTAATTGCTTAGATGGGTGTACGATCTCACACCTGGTGTTAAGTGGTTACTGGAGCCCATAGACATCTACAACGTAAATGCGCCACCCACATTGAGGATATAAGTTCTAAGATACAACGTATAGTTACAACGGCTGCCCCACCCTTCAAACCGAAACGCATTACTGCTTCACGGCAGAAACAGTCAGGGCGGTGGTACCCACTCGCGCGGACTCACAAGAGGTCCTACCACCAGTAACCGGTAGCTTTACACAAATTTATTTGCCGATTGAAACAATAAAACAAAAAAAACTTCTATTCCCACTAATGCGATTATTAATATATTAGTAAGGCTAGAGGGTAGATAGATCGTGGCACGCTCAACATCGACTCCGATAAAAATTAACAAAAATTTAATCTAAAAAGTGACTTGAGATACATTATATAAGTGTGTACAGAGACTTAGTGCTAAGGGAGCTGGTGAAGATAAAATACAGTGGAAACACAAATATCAAACTCATAAAAACTCGAATCAAACATTGTGCAAACCATCTANGGTCCGACGGAGTCAACCGGGTCGCAGACATTCGTACTTCAAGCGAAGTCATCAAGAGGTCGTTTAATAAGATTTGTCCCCTGATTGCGGATTAGTTTTGGGTTGAAAGGAAACCTTTCAACATCCGGGGGCATGTTCGGAACCGCAGTAAAAAGTTTAGTTGCAAAGCTGTCATTTATATTTTTATAATTTTTAAATTTTGTTTCTAAAGTCAGTAGGAATAAACTGTCAGCCATGAAAGTTGCATCATCATTTTATTTTATTTTATTGTAAAAATCTTCCTCCTCACAAATATAAATATCTAAATAAGAAACCGTCCGCTACACTGGGGTTCCAGTAGATTAAATAACTACATAATATTAAGTAAACATAACTATATAATATTAAGTAAACATACTAATTATATTAAGTAAGTGATAAAAACTATATAAAAAAAAAAAATTATATAATATTAAAATCAAATAATAAAATAAAATAAAAACTAACACATAGATAGATTTTAAGCTATGTAAATTTACTGGAAATAAAAAGGCTTTATTATTATTATTATTATTATTAATGCGATTAACATTGATGCTTTAATAATAAAACACAATGAAAATGTTATGTACCAACGAAAGATTTTCGCAGTCACGAATGCGTAATATTTTTTTTATTAAATGCCGAGATTACATTTTGTGTTCGTCACACGCTTCCTTGCCGGGGCGGGCTGAGGAATTCAGGTCTGCCCTTAGGAAAAATATTAAGACTTCTTATTAATGTTCATGTTTTTTTTTATGAGTATCATGTTATTGTACTAGCGACCCGCCCTCGCTTCGCTTCGGAAACTGTAATTTATTATTGATTTCTCCACTATTTAATGGATCTCATTATACATATAAACCTGCCTCTTCAATCACTGTATCTATTAAAAAAAAACGCATCAAATTCCGTTGCGTAGTTTTAAAGATTTGAGCATACATAGGGATAGAGTGATAGAGAAAGCGACTTTGTTTTATACTATGTAGTGATAAGCCGTGAAATGTAACCTTCTTGGTGGATTTACAGGAACCTCCTGGCCAACGTGATTCTGCGACATGTTTCACGTATCGCTGGTCATAATAGTTCTACGAACATGCAGCGTACCAAATGATTAGAGTTTCAATTAAATTGGATTATCATACAGACACAATAACACTTACTCCTCCTCCATGCGTCGTGTTCCTCAGTGCTGAGGGTCGTGACCTTTACGGAATACATACGCATACGTAAGGGTTTTCTTGGGAAAATTGCTAGTGGTGGCTTCCCGCGTCCTTCCAGAGCAGAATTTCAGAGGCGATTTAGTTCCTCTGGGCTACTGAAGCCCTAGTTCGAAATGAACAAAAATCATTCGTTTGGATTGATAAAAGAAACAGTTTCTACTTCTTCTTCTTAATCGGATATTCTTGTCAGAGTTGCGCTCATGATGTTAATATAGAAGCAACCATTAGGTCGGGGACTATCGAGGATTGTCTCTGGCGATTCGCTTCCAGATCTGGCGTTTCGACGCATTTCAAATACACTGGACCATGGTGGATTCAGTTGCTTTCTTTATCAGCTCAGTACAGCGGATTGGTGATCGGACGCGTGATCTCTTGCCTTCAGCGTGTCTCCTTTCTCTTTCTTTGCCAATATATCAAAAGTAGCAGTTGTAGTGATATTCTCAACGTCTTCTGAAATCATACGATACGTACCCTCAGTATTTCAGTCTGAAAGCAATCGCGCACTTGAGACTTTCACCTTTTGTCTAAAGTTGGTTGCATCATTCACATTGTGACCCGGATACTTCACAGTTTTGGTTCCGTCGGAAGACTTTTTTTACTCAAGTAACCAATGAATCTAAATTCAAAATAAGACCGAAGTAAAATGACTATAAATAATTTCAGCTTGCTTGCCTTCCACCTGGCCTTGAAATAGTTTCACTGTTAAATTAATTGAACCGTTATTGTCTTATAGTGCGAAAAGAAAATTTACGACATGCTAGTAGGACCTATTTTTACCGTGAAGCAGCAATGCGTTTCGGTTTGAAGGGTGGGGCAGCTGTTGTAACTATACTTAGACCTTAGAACCGATATTTCAAAGTGTAACCATTGAACACTAGGTGGGCTGTGAGCTCGTCCACCCATCTATGCAATAAAAAAAATCTATATAAGCACGAAATCTCTTCACGTGCATCCGAAACTAGCGAATAAATTGTAAATTCAGCAGACTAGTTGGGGAATTAAATTATTTGCATAACAAATATTCTCTGGACGTTTTTGCTGGCACTGTTGACAGTTTTAGACGAGAAGTCTACAGCCTTTCAATGAGTTTTTTCAATTAAGTAATAGCGTATTTGGTAGTAAATGTGTAATAATATAAGGTCTTCCTGTAATGTTATATATAGTTTTTTTTGTTTTTTTTTTTTAAATATTGAAACCGCTTTTTTTTCGATGCATGCAGTCGGTGCCTGTAATTGTGTTAGCATTTAATGTGAAATTAATGTATATGATACCTGTAATGTTCTGTGCTGATGTATAACATGTTGGTACCCAAAGAAAAAAAGAAAAATAAAAATAAATAAATAAAATAAAATTGTGGCGTATAACTCAAGACATGTAAGTTAGCGGAAGCCTCTCTCATATTAATAGTTATACGGTTCATTACCGTAATCTCTAACAGAGCTAACGAGATTGTCTCTTCACCTCGTATTATATCAGCGGGAATATTCACGTGTATTATGTTAATTGGCTGTTAGGGAAACTGATTTGGGAATGCGCTTGATGCTTTGAAATCAAGGCTAGGCTGTTTGGTTTGGTTTTCCAATGCTTTGAGACTTTGTCAATGTGTGCTGGTCAATTGTTCGCTAAAATAATGAGAGGATTAACTTAAAGCAAGCAAAGTTTAATTCTTTATTTATCGATAACTAGCTGACCCGGCAGACTTCGTAGTGCCTCAATCCGAATCCGTCCGACGGAGGACACCTCAAAGGAAAAACAAAATTGTTATTTTTATTTAATTCCGAGCATTTTTATATTTATCTATCTTTTAAACCTTTTCTGGACTTCCACAAATAAATTAAGACCAAAATTAGCCAAATCGGTCTAGAGGTTCTCGAGTTTTAGCGAGACTAACGAACAGGAGTTCATTTTTATATATAATAATATAGATTACGCTAATTATAAGTTTGCGGGTTTGATTTTTATTACACGATGTTATTCCTTCACCGTCGAAGTCAATCGTAAACATTTTTTAAGTACGTGAAACGAATGTTCCAATGGAATGAAAAATTTGGTATTTGTCTGCGGGATTCGAACACCGGCACAGTTGCATCGCTTGCCATGAATGCACCGGCGTCTTATCTTTTAGGTTGCGACCATTTTATATATCTAGGTAAGATAGTTAGTTATCATATGTATTTCTAGTAGGAATATTTAGGTAAACTGTAAAAACTGTACCTAAATATTCCTGCGCGCAATACATATGTTAACTCGAGTAATGAAACAATTTTATAATATTTTATGTTTACAACAAAACATTTTTTCTACATTTTGCCAAAGCAGAATAAATATTGCGTGCGGGATGCCCGAGGACTCTCCGCGTCATTACGGATCCTCCCGATCCATTAACGATGCTTTTAGGTACCTCAAGCACCGGTCACCGTCCTCGTCGAACCCGTCGCTTGCGACGAAGGACTCAATGAGTGAATTAACCCATAGACACAACTCACTGAGTATCTCGCGGGATCTTCTCAGTGGGTCGCGATTCCGATCCGGTGGTAGATTCTGCGAAGCACTGCTCTTGCTAGAGCCAGTGTTAGCAACACTCCCGGTTAGAGCCCCGTGAGCTCACCTACTCGCCCGATTACGCTGACATAGCCTCTCAAGACTATCATCTTAGGGAGGAAAAAAAGAGGACTAGTATAGTACAATTTATACATGTGCACCTTGTGTTCTTTTGGTCCGAGCGACGAAAACCAATTTTACTGGCCCAAACTGTATTTTATTTAATTATTATTAAGAAGTCACGTTTTTCTTTACAGCCAAACCACGCGTATACGTTAAGTGTGTCTTGCACTGGGGCAGTGCACAATGTCGGTGTTCGGCGTCGTCAAGATGGCCGCCTCGCGCTCGGCTTTGCTCGGCGCGGCGAGCGAAGTTTCACGAGCGTCGCGTCGCTATTACGTCATCACCGTAGGCGGAGGCTGCTTCTGGTTGCCGAGGGCGGAGTGATCGGCGCTACAACTTTAATAGACACGCCGCAGTATTATCAAACGCCCAGAAGTATTCCGATTCCAATTTAATTCCAGTTCAGTGTGACTTCAGGAACTGACGCAAATTTTGCATTTTCAAATTATTATTGACTGTGCTCAGATTAAATATGTTATACTATGTCTTATGTTTACATATGATGTAATCTTCATAATTTTATATTAATTTAAATGAATCAGAAAAGGACTGTCTCTGTATAATTGCAGTTATAATAATGAAAGTCAAGTTTTAAATAAAAATGAACTTTTTTAATTTGAAGTCTAGAACATCTAAGATATCTCGTAAAACATGTATCGTAATAACTATGAAATGATATTAAAGTGTTAAATTATAAATTTACTTTATTTTGTCACTCAAATAATAAGTATTGTGCCTGAGCGTTTTTTAGATAAATAGGTATTATTCAAACTATTTCGCTTTTTTTTTTATTTATTTTTTATTGCCTTTGTAGGCAGACGGGCATACGGCCCACCTGATGGTGAGTGGTTACCGTCGCCCATGGACTTCAGCAATGCCAGGGGCAGAGCCAAGCCGCTGCCTACCGCTTAATACTCTCCATAAGCCTCGTTTGAAGAAGGACATGTCATAGCGCTCGGGAAACACCGTGGAGGGGAGCTCATTCCATAGCCGGATGGTACGTGGCAAAAAAGATCTCTGGAAACGCACTGTGGATGACCGCAGTGGCTCCAGGTAGTATGGATGAACTCTACTCCGGTGGCGGGCGGTGCGATGGTAAAAACGAGATGCTGGTATCATCTCGAACAATTCCTCAGAGCACTCCCCATGGAACATACGGTACAAAATACAGAGGGAACCGAAGTCCCTCCGCAGACCCAGAGGCTCCAAACGATCCGAGAGAATGGGATTATCGACAATCCGAACGGCCCTCCTCTGTATGGAGTCAAATGGAAGAAGCTGGTATTTGGGAGCCCCGGCCCAGAGATGGGAGCAGTACTCCACGCGAGGCCGGACTTGTGCTTTATAAAGCAAAAGTCTTTGTCCAGGCGTGAAGTACCGCTTCGCTCTGTTGAGGACTCCCAGCATTTTGGACGCCAACTTGGCTTTGCCTTCCAAATGACTCCGAAACTGGACATCGCTCGAAATGTCGACCCCAAGTATCCCGATACTCTCGGAAGGTTGCAGGGATACTCCTTGGAATTGCGGCGCCATGACAAAGGGGTCCTTCTTCGCAGTGAACGCGCAAACTTGTGTCTTTATCGGGTTGAATTGAACCAAGTTCAATTCACCCCATTCGGAGACTCGCCCCAGAGAGTTCTCCACTTCAGACACAAGTTTTGATCGTCTCTCTTGCACCACGCTCCGAGAGAGACTCTGATGGCCGATATATCGCGCATCCCCCGTGCTGTCATCCGCATAGCAATGCATGCCATCAATAGACAGCATGTCATTGATATACAGGATGAAAAGCGTGGGGGAGAGCACCGAACCTTGTGGAACGCCAGCGTTAATGGTCATGGTATCAGAACAGTCACCGTCTACAACGACCGTGATGCTCCGCCCATCCAAAAAGCTAGCGATCCACTTGCAGAGACCCTCGGGGATTCCGTAAGATGGTAACTTCGATAGAAGTGCCCTATGCCAGACCCTGTCGAAGGCCTTCGCGATATCAAGGCTCACAGCAAGAGCCTCGCCCTTGCTCTCCAAGGCTTCAGCCCACCTGTGAGTAAGGTATACAAGAAGATCGCCAGCTGAGCGACCGTGACGGAAACCGTACTGTCGGTCACTGATCAGCTGGCGATCTTCAAGATACTTCAGGAGTTGTGTATTTATAATTCGCTCCATCACCTTGGAAAGCAAGGAAGTTATCGCGATAGGCCTGTAGCTCGATGGGTCCGACCGGTCACCCTTCTTGGGGATAGGGTGGACGTGGGCGGTCTTCCATGAAGACGGAACCCTGTTAGTGCAATAAGAGAGGCGATACAAACGCGTTAGCGCAGGTGTCAGCTCAGGGGCGCACGTTTTCAAAACCACTGCGGGGATGCCGTCTGGCCCACTCGACTTATGGACGTCCAGGAGTCGGAGCTCCCGCCTGACTGCACACTGTGTGAAGCAGATATCCGGCAGGGAGCTATCACACCGGGGGATGTTCGGTGGTGTGGCACCCCCGTCGTCCACAGTCGAGTTCGAGGCGAAGAGTTTGACCAGAAGGTCAGCCTTCTCTTTCGCGCTGTGGGCCAGATTGTCATCGGACTTGCGCAGTGGTGGGAGACTAGACCTGCAAAAGTTTCCTTCTGCAGCTTTGGCGAGCGACCAAAAAGCACGGCTCCCGGAGGGATAGCTCTTCAATCGCTCGCCAACTCTAGCAACGTGCTCCGACTTCGCCTTGGCAATTACCTTCTTGTAGGACCTGGAAGCGGCGTTATATTTCCGCCTTTCCCCTGAGATGTTAGGATCCCGACGTCTCCTGGCATTATCCCATGCCACGTATGCGGACCGCTTGAGGTGTGCAGCATCCCTGCTGGCATTGTTATACCAGGGTCTGCTGCGACCCCCAACGGGCACTTCAGAGGAGGGAATAAACAATTCCATCCCCTGGAGCACCACGTCTTTAAGACGGTCCGCACAGACGTCAGGATCAGCAGAGGAAAAGCAGAACCGCCCCCATGGGTAGGATGCGTAAAATTCACGCAATCCATCCCAATCTGCTGACATATACCGCCAAACTCTTCGATACCCGGTCGTCGTTCGACGATCAGGACGAGAGAGTGGTACGGCAGCACGAATAAGGCAGTGATCAGACGATCCAAGCGGAGCGTCGACCACCACACTGTATCCGGCCGGATCTGTGGTCAGCAGAAGGTCCAACAAAGAAGGCTCGTGCCCCTCGATATCTGGGACACGGGTGGGCTGTGTCACCAGCTGGGAGAAGCCGTAGGCCAAGGCGAAATCGTAGGCAGTCCGACCCGGGAGGTCAGTGGTTCTGGACCCCAACCACTCTTGGTGGTGAGCGTTAAAGTCTCCAAGAACCACCACCTCCGCAGATGGGTACTGCTCAAGCACGCGGTTAGTCCCCTCTTGCACATGCTCAAACAGAGCTGAACCTGCATCACTGCTGTGGGACCTGTACAGGCACGCGTAGATTCGGCTACGGCCCCCGTGATCTACGCGCAGCCACAAGAGGGACAGGTCCCGTTGTTCGAGGCCCCGAAGACGGCGACAACAGACATCAGCCCGGACGAATACGCACACCCCGGCTTTACGCAGGAAGTTGTGCTCCAATACGTAGCCGGGGTATTCAAGGTATGAGGTATCATCCGGAGCAGATATCTGCGTCTCCGTTAAAAAAAGCAGGGCAGGCTGCGCCGTCTCAAGGTGGTGGTGTACGGCGTCAAGGTTGCTATGTAGGCCCCTGACATTGCTGAAATCCACATTAAATGTGGAATGGGGGACCGCCTGTGAAACCCTTTTCTTTTTTTTTGTCGTCTTCATGATGTTTAAGTTTTCGGAGAGTAGGATTAGGAGAGGTAGGATGTTGGAGGTGAGATCGAGGCAACACCTGAATGAAGCGCGGAACATAGTACGTGCTCGACCACGGGTTGCGTGAGAGACTGACGCAGGGCATGGAAGGGCCCCCAGTCCACTCTGCGTGCGATCGCCGGGATCCACTCCGGTCTCCGACTCCGGCACGACGACCGCACGACAGGATTTTACACCGGTTGGCGGGACAGCTTCCCGGGGCGGAGTTTAGTAGAGACACCCGGGTTCAGGTCCCCTACTGACCGGCGGGCGGCAGCGGGTACCGTTTCACTGGGTCTCCCTATACCCCCGTCAAACAATCACGCCCCGTGAGTTCGCACGCACGTCTGCTCCGCAAGTTCCAGGCGTCACCAAGACTCAACCCCAACAAGGAAGGGGAAAGGGAAGGGATAGAAGGGATAGGGCTTTTTTTTTCCTACCTAAGCTGGTAGCCTTGAGAGGCTATTAGCGTAACCTTAACTAGTAGGTGAGCTCACGGGGCTCAAACCTGACGACGTTGCTAACACGAACCCTAGCAAGAGCCGTGCTTCGCAGAATCTACCACCGGATCGGAAACGCGACCCACTGAGAAGATCCGGCGAGAAACTCAGTGAGCTGTGTCTGAGGGTTAATTTGTTCGTCGAGCCCTTCGTCGTAAGCAACGGGTTCGACGAGAACGGTGACCGATGCTTGAAGTACCTAGAAGCACCGTTAGTGGATCGGGAGGTCAAACTATTTCGCCTTGTAACGTGCTAACTTAAAAAATTAGCGATTAAGTCGCCTAGAGCGATCTCAACCAATCAAAATTGTATAGAGAGGAATTATTAATTTTTTATTATTGCGTGTATGCCGAACAAGCTTACGGTCCATCCGGGATAAAGTGGTTACGGAGCCGATTCTATTTCAAACCTGAATGCCGCAATTAACTTTTGACACGATTTGTAAGTCTAAATTGTGTTATATGCTTTCCCACTCTTCAAACTGGGTCGCATAATAGCTTCGCGGCATAAATCCGCGGGATGGTACTACCCCCTCGGACGGGCTTTTAATACGCCGTATTATCAATAATAATATAACCAATTAAATCATATGTGTGTGTTATCTGTCCGTTATGGACTTAGCAATTATAATTATTGTTGGTGACATTTCTGTCATAGAGTATTATAGAATTAGAAACGGCGTGAGTAAATTAAAAAAGAAAACAATGTGTTTTTTCAAACATTAAGTGATAGTTACAGCTGAGTGTGGCTGGATCAATAAGTTTTGTGTATCTATAAAATTCTATAATACCAATTGTGACTTAGGTATATGTCCCAACAATAAACAAAACAGCGTTGTTTATAGTTTTATTTTTATACAAAACATCAGGTTTTATCCTGGCATACAGACAAGAATTTGTTTATGATGTACGATAAGATAAGTTAAGGGTTCGGGGAATGTTGTTGGAAAAGTTAGCGGAATCGTCATGAACTTATTAAGATGAAGTTATTTGTTAAGTAAATTTATTAATATATTCCTCTTAATACTGTATAATCTATTATATGTATGTATGTGTGTATATATGTATGTATGTATGTATGTATATGTATATTTATATGTGATTTTGTATATATGTTTATATACTTTTTTGTATATATTCGTAACTTAATATAAATTTCATTGCACCTACCACTATTTACTCTGCACTACCCTTGGTTGACTGGTAGAGAATGCCTTAGGCATTAAGTCCGCCAATGTAAATTTTACATGAAGTGTAATAAAAAAATAAAAAAAATAAGATAATAGAACAAAAATCTCCGAACCCATGCATCAGCGCGCTGAGTCGCGATTCTGATCTTGAGTTGTTATATCTTTTTTGGAGGTGCTCTGACAGCTATTAGCAAACCCC